CACCGATTAGGTTTGTCAGCACCATTCCCGTGCTCGTGGGTTTCACCGAAGTGGTAAACGTTTGAGACCTGCATCACTTCCGGCTTCCTCCCACATTAAGCTGACACGCCGCGTTATAACTCGAATACTGTTAAAAGCGGCGTTAAACCCAATAAACACACTCACTCTTGTTAAATGGAACACTGTGTGAGTGAATTGTTTTTTGAAACAGAGACGCGTCACACAAGCACATAGTGGAATGCCACCGGTATATCATTAAACACTGATGGTACGGGTGACGCGAAGACATAGATATCAACCTATTGCAAAACCCAAGTGACAACTGGGATATAACCGCTCCAGTTATGTCAGATGGCAAATACCATAATATCTGGATGAACACAAGTTCGAGCACAATTCTGATGTTAGGAGTTTATCTCAATCACTGCCGTGCGGATGTTTGAGAGCATGACTACTACCTGAAGTGATTTCAACATCTGATGGGACAAAGTTCTGATCGCAGCCACTGCGGCGCCATGTGTCCGATCATTAGGAACTATATGGACCGCTCTTGGGTTTCACTTAAACTGGATATTGATAAATCGCCATTTAAAGTGATAAGTAGCGTTGGACCAAGACTGGAAGTTCAACATCACTTACATTACATAGAGACGTAGCAGACAGTTTATGGGAACGTGATATTAACATCAAGTTCTGACTATGTATAGTTAATTCTAGCGTATGGCAATGTCCGAGAGCCTGCATCTATGATTACTTTCAGTATTTGACTGTGTCCATAACCCCGTATCAACGTGGTTACTTCCAGTTTATGACAATGTGCATGTATCTGTATGGTCACTTCAAGTACAGTACTATGTCCATATGCCTGTCGTAAATACGGACGTCTGTAGGGTTACTTCATGTATACGACAATGTCCACGTGCCTCTGTGTGTAGGATAACTTCATGTATATTAGAATGTGCATGCCCATGTGTGTGTATGGGTACTTTATATATATGACAATGTTCATGCTTCTGTCTGTATGGGAACTTCATGTATATGGCAATGTCCATGTACCTGTGTTTGTATGATAACTTCATAAATATGACAATGTCCATGAGTCTGTGTCTGAATGATAACTTCATGTATATGACAATGTTCATGCTCCCGTGTCTGTATGATAACTTCATGTATATGACAATGTCCATGCTCCTGTATCTGTATGATAACTTCATGTATATGACAATGTCCATGCTCCTGTATCTGTATGATAACTTCATGTATATGACAATGTCCATGCTCCTGTATCTGTATGATAACTTCATGTATATGACAATGTGCATGCTCCTGTGTCTGTATGGGTACTTCATGTATATGACAATGTCCATGCTCATGTGTCTGTATGGGAACTTCGTGTATATGACAATGTTCATGCTCCTGTGTCTGTATGATAACTTAATGTATATGACAATGTTCATGCTCCTCTGTCTGTATGGGTACTTTGTGTATATGACAATGTCCATGCTCCTGTGTCTGTATGATAACTTCATGTATATGACAATGTCCATGCTCCTGTATCTGTATGATAACTTCGTGTATATGGCAATGTCCATGCTCCTGTGTCTGTATGGGTACTTCATGTATATGACAATGTCCATGCTCCTGTGTCTGTATGATAACTTCATGTATATGACAATGTTCATGCTCCTGTGTCTGTATGATAACTTCATGTATATGACAATGTACATGGTCCTGTGTCTGTATGATAACTTCATGTATATGACAATGTACATGGTCCTGTGTCTGTATGATAACTTCATGTATATGACAATGTTCATGCTCCTGTGTCTGTATGATAACTTCATGTATATGACAATGTTCATGCTCCTGTGTCTGTATGATAACTTCATGTATATGACAATGTTCATGCTCCTGTGTCTGTATGATAACTTCATGTATATGACAATGTTCATGCTCCTGTGTCTGTATGATAACTTCATGTATATGACAATGTACATGGTCCTGTGTCTGTATGATAACTTCATGTATATGACAATGTTCATGCTCCTGTGTCTGTATGATAACTTCATGTATATGACAATGTTCATGCTCCTGTGTCTGTATGATAACTTCATGTATATGACAATGTCCATGCTCCTGTATCTGTATGGGAACTTCGTGTATATGGCAATGTCCATGCTCCTGTGTCTGTATGGGTACTTCTTGTATATGACAATGTCCATGCTCCTGTGTCTGTATGGGAACTTCATGTATATGACAATGTCCATGCTCCTGTGTCTGTATGATAACTTCATGTATATGACAATGTTCATGCTCCTGTGTCTGTATGATAACTTCATGTATATGACAATGTCCATGCTCCTGTATCTGTATGGGAACTTCGTGTATATGGCAATGTCCATGCTCCTGTGTCTGTATGGGTACTTCATGTATATGACAATGTCCATGCTCCTGTGTCTGTATGGGAACTTCATGTATATGACAATGTCCATGCTCCTCTGTCTGTATGGGTACTTCATGTATATGACAATGTACATGGTCCTGTGTCTGTATGATAACTTCATGTATATGACAATGTCCATGCTCCTGTGTCTGTATGGGTACTTCATGTATATGACAATGTCCATGCTCCTGTGTCTGTATGGGAACTTCATGTATATGACAATGTCCATGCTCCTGTGTCTGTATGATAACTTCATGTATATGACAATGTTCATGCTCCTCTGTCTGTATGGGTACTTCATGTATATGACAATGTCCATGCTCCTGTCTGTATGATAACTTCATGTATATGACAATGTCCATGCTCATGTGTCTGTATGGGAACTTCGTGTATATGACAATGTCCATGGTCCTGTGTCTGTATGATAACTTCATGTATATGACAATGTCCATGCTCCTGTCTGTATGATAACTTCATGTATATGACAATGTCCATGCTCCTGTGTCTGTATGGGTACTTCATGTATATGACAATGTCCATGCTCATGTGTCTGTATGGGAACTTCGTGTATATGACAATGTTCATGCTCCTGTGTCTGTATGATAACTTAATGTATCTGACAATGTTCATGCTCCTCTGTCTGTATGATAACTTCATGTATATGACAATGTCCATGCTCCTGTGTCTGTATGATAACTTAATGTATCTGACAATGTTCATGCTCCTCTGTCTGTATGATAACTTCATGTATATGACAATGTTCATGCTCCTGTGTCTGTATGGGAACTTCATGTATATGACAATGTCCATGGTCCTGTGTCTGTATGATAACTTAATGTATCTGACAATGTTCATGCTCCTCTGTCTGTATGGGTACTTCATGTATATGACAATGTTCATGCTCCTGTGTCTGTATGATAACTTAATGTATCTGACAATGTTCATGCTCCTCTGTCTGTATGATAACTTCATGTATATGACAATGTTCATGCTCCTGTGTCTGTATGATAACTTAATGTATCTGACAATGTTCATGCTCCTCTGTCTGTATGGGTACTTTGTGTATATGACAATGTCCATGCTCCTGTGTCTGTATGATAACTTCATGTATATGACAATGTACAGTCTTTATGCTCCTATCTGTATGATAACTTCGTGTATATGGCAATGTCCATGAGTCTGTGTCTGTATGATAACTTCATGTATATGACAATGTTCATGCTCCTGTGTCTGTATGGGAACTTCATGTATATGACAATGTCCATGCTCCTGTGTCTGTATGATAACTTCATGTATATGACAATGTTCATGCTCCTGTGTCTGTATGGGTACTTCATGTATATGACAATGTTCATGCTCCTGTGTCTGTATGATAACTTCATGTATATGACAATGTACATGGTCCTGTGTCTGTATGGGAACTTCATGTATATGACAATGTCCATGGTCCTGTGTCTGTAATGGTACTTCATGTACATGACAATGTTCATGCTCCTGTCTGTATGGGAACTTCGTGTATATGACAATGTCCATGCTCCTGTGTCTGTATGATAACTTAATGTATATGACAATGTTCATGCTCCTCTGTCTGTATGGGTACTTTGTGTATATGACAATGTCCATGCTCCTGTGTCTGTATGATAACTTCATGTATATGACAATGTACAGTCTTTATGCTCCTATCTGTATGATAACTTCGTGTATATGGCAATGTCCATGAGTCTGTGTCTGTATGATAACTTCATGTATATGACAATGTTCATGCTCCTGTGTCTGTATGGGAACTTCATGTATATGACAATGTCCATGCTCCTGTGTCTGTATGATAACTTCGTGTATATGGCAATGTCCATGAGTCTGTGTTTGTATGATAACTTCGTGTATATGACAATGTCCATGCTCCTGTGTCTGTATGATAACTTCATGTATATGGCAATGTCCATGAGTCTGTGTCTGTATGATAACTTCGTGTATATGACAATGTCCATGCTCCTGTGTCTGTATGGGTACTTCATGTATATGACAATGTCCATGAGTCTGTGTCTGTATGATCACTTCATGTATACGGTAATGTTCATGCTCCTGTGTCTGTATGATAACTTCATGTATATGACAATGTTCATGCGCCTGTCTGTATGGGAACTTCATGTATCTGACAATGTTCATGCTCCTGTCTGTATGGGAACTTCGTGTATATGGCAATGTCCATGCTCCTGTGTCTGTATGATAACTTCGTGTATATGACAATGTTCATGTGCCTGTGTCTGTATGATAACTTCGTGTATATGGCAATGTTCATGCTCCTGTCTGTATGGGAACATCATGTATATGGCAATGTCCATGCTCCTGTGTCTGTATGATAACTTCGTGTATATGGCAATGTCCATGCTCCTGTGTCTGTATGATAACTTCGTGTATATGGCAATGTCCATGCTCCTGTGTCTGTATGATAACTTCGTGTATATGGCAATATTCATGTGCCTGTGTCTGTATGATAACTTCGTGTATATGGCAATGTTCATGCTCCTGTCTGTATGGGAACATCATGTATATGGCAATGTCCATGCTCCTGTGTCTGTATGATAACTTCGTGTATATGGCAATGTCCATGCTCCTGTGTCTGTATGATAACTTCGTGTATATGGCAATGTCCATGAGTCTGTGTCTGTATGATAACTTCGTGTATATGAGTCCATATGTCTTGAAGCATCCTCCCGAGGCAAGAGTGTGCAGTAGTCCATATGTCTTGAAGCATCCTCCCGAGGCAAGAGTGTGCAGTAGTCCATTTGTCTTGAAGCATCCCCCCGAGGCAAGAGTGTGCAGTAGTCCATATGTCTTGAAGCATCCTCCCGAGGCAAGAGTGTGCAGTAGTCCATATGTCTTGAAGCATCCCCCCGAGGCAAGAGTGTGCAGTAGTCCATATGTCTTGAAGCATCCTCCCGAGGCAAGAGTGTGCAGTAGTCCATATGTCTTGAAGCATCCTCCCGAGGCAAGAGTGTGCAGTAGTCCATATGTCTTGAAGCATCCTCCCGAGGCAAGAGTGTGCAGTAGTCCATTTGTCTTGAAGCATCCCCCCGAGGCAAGAGTGTGCAGTAGTCCATATGTCTTGAAGCATCCTCCCGAGGCAAGAGTGTGCAGTAGTCCATATGTCTTGAAGCATCCTCCCGAGGCAAGAGTGTGCAGTAGTCCATATGTCTTGAAGCATCCCCCCGAGGCAAGAGTGTGCAGTAGTCCATATGTCTTGAAGCATCCTCCCGAGGCAAGAGTGTGCAGTAGTCCATATGTCTTGAAGCATCCTCCCGAGGCAAGAGTGTGCAGTAGTCCATATGTCTTGAAGCATCCTCCTGAGGCAAGAGTGTGCAGTAGTCAATATGTCTTGAAGCATCCTCCCGAGGCAAGAGTGTGCAGTAGTCCATTTGTCTTGAAGCATCCTCCCGAGGCAAAAGTGTGCACCAGTCAATATCACAGCCTCGTGTCCAACCTTCCAGGAGTGTTACATGGCCATGATGTACAGGTAACGCATATACTGCAGGAATATCACATGGACATAAATGTAGTATAGAGGAGTATCGCGTGGACATGTTGTATAGATTGAGCACATACTACAGGAATATCGCGAGGACATGTTGTATAGATTGAGCACTTACTACAGGAGTATCGTGAGGACATGATGCATAGGTTAAGCACATACTACATGAGTATCGTGAGCACATGTTGTATGGAGTATCGCGAGGAAATTTTGTATAGATTGAAAACTTACTACAGGAGTATCGCGAGGACATGTTGTATAGATTGAGCACTTACTACAGGAGTATAGTGAGGACATGTTGTATAGATTGAGCACTTACTACAGGAGTATCGTGAGGACATTTTGTATAGATTGAGCACTTACTACAGGAGTATCGTGAGGACACGTTGTATAGATGGAGCACTTACTACAGGAGTATCGTGAGGACAAGTTGTATAGATTGGGCACTTATTATAGGAGTACCGCGTGGTCATGTTGTAAGCACATACTACAAGAGTGACGTCATGTCTTCAACCCAAGCCTGGATTTTCATGTCTCCTGCCAGGTAGTTATGTTTCCCGAGGCCAGTTTCCACCCTTGCTAGGCTGGAATTTCATGGCTCGATCGAAGCGCCACCAGTTTCTATTACGAATTATGTCCCTTCTATGTTCCTCCTATTGACCAATCAGATTCCATCTCTCATATCACATAGGCGGCGCCGAAGGCGATATGCTCGGTAATCAAGGTCTATATTGTAATAAAATGGTTCTTTCCCCGCGAAGTGCATCAAATCGAGTAAGCACCTTCATTAAAAGCATGAAAGAGTTTACTTAATACCTGTCGACGCCCAGTTGATGGAACACATGCTTTGCAAATCCTGCAGTCGACCGATTATCAGCTCGTTGAAATTCCTGTTGTTAACGAACAGGATGTTTACTTCTTTACGCGATTTTGATAGGACTATGCACAGACTTGTTAGTCCACACTTTTCTCTGTGTCGATTATATCATGTATATTAATGCATAACACAGGTCATCAAATATTGAAGTTGTGGCTCATAAAGATATCATAGTAGGAAATATATAATTATCTTCTTGATGGTGTAGTGTACGTGTTGGGGGGATCTTGTTGATGGTGTAGTGTGCGGGATGGGGACATCTTATTGATGGTGTAGTGTACTGGTTGGGGAAATCTTGTTGATGGTGTAGTGTACAGGTTGGGGAGATCTTGTTGATGGTGTAATGTACTGGTTGGGGAAATCTTGTTGATAGTGTAGTGTACGTGTTGGGTAGATCTTGTTGATGGTGTAGTGTGCGGGATGGGGACATCTTATTGATGGTGTAGTGTACGGGTTGGGGAGATCTTGTTGATGGTGTAATGTACTGGTTGGGGAAATCTTGTTGATAGTGTAGTGTACGTGTTGGGGAGATCTTGTTGATGGTGTAGTGTGCGGGATGGGGACATCTTATTGATGGTGTAGTGTACGTGTTGGGGAGATCTTGTTGATGGTGTAGTGTGCGGGATGGGGACATCTTATTGATGGTGTAGTGTACGTGTTGGGGAGATCTTGTTGATGGTGTAGTGTGCGGGATGGGCACATCTTATTGATGGTGTAGTGTACGTGTTGGGGAGATCTTGTTGATGGTGTAGTGTGCGGGATGGGGACATCTTGTTGATGGTGTAGAGTGCGGGTTGGGGAGATCTTGTTGATGGTGTAGTGTGCGGGTTGGGGAGATCTTGTTGATGGTGTAGTGTGCGGGATGGGGACATTTTGTTGATGGTGTAGTGTGCGGGTTGGGGAGATCTTGTTGATGGTGTAGTGTGCGGGTTGGGGAGATCTTGTTGATGGTGAAGTGTGCGGGTTGGGGAGATCTTGTTGATGGTGTAGTGTGCGGGATGGGGACATCTTGTTGATGGTGTAGTGTGCGGGTTGGGGAGATCTTGTTGATGGTGTAGTGTGCGGGTTGGGGAGATCTTGTTGATGGTGTAGTGTGCGGGATGGGGACATTTTGTTGATGGTGTAGTGTGCGGGTTGGGGAGATCTTGTTGATGGTGTAGTGTGCGGGTTGGGGAGATCTTGTTGATGGTGTAGTGTGCGGGTTGGGAAGATCTTGTTGATGGTGTAGTGTGCGGGATGGGGACATCTTATTGATGGTGTAGTGTACGTGTTGGGGAGATCTTGTTGATGGTGTAGTGTGCGGGATGGGGACATCTTGTTGATGGTGTAGTGTGCGGGTTGGGGAGATCTTGTTGATGGTGTAGTGTGCGGTATGGGGACATCTTATTGATGGTGTAGTGTACGGGTTGGGGAGATCTTGTTGATGGTGTAGTGTGCGGGATGGGGACATCTTGTTGATGGTGTAGTGTGCGGGTTGGGGAGATCTTGTTAATGGTGTAGTGTGCGGGATGGGGACATCTTATTGATGGTGTAGTGTACGTGTTGGGGAGATCTTGTTGATGGTGTAGTGTGCGGGATGGGGACATCTTATTGATGGTGTAGTGTGCGGGTTGGGGAGATCTTGTTGATGGTGTAGTGTACGGGATGGGGACATCTTATTGATGGTGTAGTGTACGGGTTGGGGAGATCTTGTTGATGGTGTAGTGTACGGGTTGGGGAGATCTTGTTGATGGTGTAGTGTGCGGGATGGGGACATCTTATTGATGGTGTAGTGTGCGGGATGGGGACATCTTATTGATGGTGTAGTGTACTGGTTGGGGAAATCGTGTTAATGGTGTAGTGTACAGGTTGGGGAGATCTTGTTGAAGGTGTAGTGTACGGGTTGGGGAGATCTTGTTTTTGATGTTGTGTACGGGTAAGGGAGATCTTGTTGTTGTTGATGTTGTGTACTGGTTGGGGAGATCGTGTTGTTGTTGATGTTGTGTACGGGTTGAGGAGATCGTGTTGTTGTTGATGTTGTGTGCGGGTTTTGGGAGATCTTGTTGTTGTTAATGTTGAGTACGGGTTGGGGAGATCTTGTTGATGGTGTACTGTACGGGTTGGGGAGATCTTGTTGATGTTGTGTACGGGTTGGGGAGATCTTGTTGTTGATGCTGTGTACGGGTTGGGGAGATCTTGTTGTTGATGTTGTGTACGGGTTGGGGAGATTTTGTTTTTGATGTTGTGTACGGGTTGGGGAAATCTTGTTGATGGTGTACTGTACGGGTTTTGGAAATCGTGTTAATAGTATCCAAGAGCAATAGTTGTGACCTAAGATGGTAACTCAGGGTGATGACGGAAGACAAAACTGAGGTGTGAAGTTTAAACAGAACAGGACAGAACTTTGTTTACACTCAGGCCGGGAAACATAGTTTTTTCATAACTTTTATTTTTTTTACAATTAAAATGTTCTTTAAATTTAAACATATTTGAATTTTTAGCATATGTAATTGGAACATATGTGTTTAAAAAAAGGACAAAGAAAAATATAATTCATCACCAACATCGCTCATGTCGCAGAGCTGACACGTTCGTTTACTGACAGGGATTGTGTGCCATCTACCCAGTTCAATTGCCAAATGGTGGCATGAAGCTCTGAACACGAGTAATTATACAGCCAAAGAGAAAGGGATAAATAATAAAGTCTTTTCAAGGACGAGTTCAGTTTTAAATATGCGATATGTGATACCTTTAGAGGAATTTGTAATCTCTGCATTCCATGTTTGAGTTGCTATGTCAGATAATCGTATGGAATTGATAGATTTAGGGACATTAGGAAGAAATGCTTGTTGGCTTCACCAATAATAACTATAGCCCGTTTCATTGAAAACACTTTCCAAACATTTTATACATTTATGACAGCTAGTGTTTGTACAGACTTCATTATATAACATTTGATATAGGATTCTTGATAACTTTTGCTCTTTGCCAGGTATGAGGTTATCCAAAAAACATACCATTCGACATCTGATAGAGTAAATTAAAGGTACTCTTCCAAGTTCTCCATAAAAAAATGTATAAAGGTGTACTTTTCTTAATGTGGAGTAATTTACGGAAAAGATTAACGTGAACAGATTCAATTTGTTTACAGTTTTCAAAACCCCAGATTTCAAATCCATATAATAGAATTGGTTTTATCATAGCATCAAAGAGATATAATTGACATTTTATGGATAGATTAAATGTTCTACTTTTACGAAATACAGAGTACATGGCCTTAGTGGCAGATTCACAATGTATTTTCATAGAGGTTTTGAAAAAGTTTTTATTTGTAAAGTGAATTCCAAGATGTATATAATCGTTAACATATTCGATTGGTGAGCCTTTTAATATATTTTTAACCTTGTCTTTTTTGCACCACCAAAATCTACAATTATTGTTTTACTAGTATTGATATGCAACCTCAATTGTTCACAGTAAAGTGAAAATATATCAAATATATTTTGTAAATTTTGTAAAAGTAAATATAACAGTATCATCTGCAAATAGTAATGCGAACAAAACAACGGATAGATCTGACAGACCATTAAGTGACTTAGATTGAAAACACTGGGGCAGTTTTGAGAATATAAATAATGGTTCCAGATCATTTAGAAACAATGAAAACAGCATTGGAGACAAGTTTTCTCTTTGACGGACACCAATGAGACAAGGGGGTTGTTCTGAATATGCACACACTTTTGTACACACATATGATTTAATGCCACCGTACATATTAACAATAATACGAATAAGTTTCCCGCCAATACCTTGTGCTAATATTTATTTCCATAAATCTATACGGGCCGCCAAATTTGTCAAAACCTTTTTGGAAATCAAAGAAACCACAATACATTTTTTCTTTCTATGTTTTAAGAAATCAATAATTGCATACAGGGTAGAAATATGATCATTTATTGAGTCATGTCTAAAGCCCGCTTGTGTTTCAGACAGAATGTTATTACTTTCAACATAATCATTGGATCTTTTATTTACAACTGAGGTAAACAGTTTTCCGAGGCAACTTACAAGATTTATGGGCCGAAAGTACAGGGTCATCTGACCTCCCTTACCTTTGTAGAGCGGACGAATAATTCCCATCATTGTTCAGGAAACCTCCCTGTAGCAAATAGAAGATTAAATAGTCTGGTATGCAAGGGTAAGAATGTTGGGACTGAAGATTTAATATATTCATTGATAATGTTGCCCTGGCCACATGACGTGTTATTCTTTAGTAGTTTGGTGGCGCATTCAATTTCTTGTTCGCTTATATCAGTGTTCATGTCACTACAATTATTGACATCGAAATTAATATTAAGATCAGTCGAATCATCAATGATAGAGTCAATATTATCTGCATTTAGGTTTTTGAAATAAGGTTATCAATAGGTGGCAAATTTGCGTCGTTGTCTTTCTGGCGTAACATTTTTCAAAATGAGCGGTTGTCATTTATCTGTGAATTAGAAATATTGTTTTGCATTTTGAAGTGATGGCTATTATAGAATTTGAGGAAGGTGTTTTTATAACGTCGACTACTGTTTAAAAGTTGTGTTTTGTTTTGTAAACTTTTATGCTTATTAAAATACCGTTTTGCCTGGTGATACCGTCCCCTACTGATCTCACACTGGTGTCCGAACCAGGGCTAAGATCTATTGCGGGTCTACGCGGCTAATACCATGATTGAGACGCTTCAGGTCAAAAGCTGAATTTGCTGTAAGTAAGAAAATATTGTTTATATTATGCACAATAATATTACAAATATCACCGGGCATCAAAGAATCAATGTAGACATCATACAAGAAATATTACTGTTTTTAATTGATTGTACAAATTCGTCAGCGTGCCTCTTTTCCAAGCGTCTCGCAATGCACGTGGAGTATGTGTTGTCAATTTCAAAGTTTGATTGACAGGTGTCTGTTGTTGATTTGGTTTGACCCGTGGTATTGTTTACATTTGTTGATTCACATTTTAAAGTAAGTGAGTGAGTGAGTGAGTGATTTTATGTCGCTTTTAGCAATATTCCAGCAATATCACGGCGGGGCTCTCTCTGTCACTTATGCCGCAGTCACATATACAACGGTCGCCGGGCGATGTGGGGGCATTAGTGGGTTTCATCGTTGCCCCGGCGCGCCACAGATTTTTGCCCACATCTGTGACACATCGGTGCAGTAGTCAACCAAAGATGATCGGCCGGTGGCTGGAGGGTGTCCCAAGGATTTTGGAAAAAATGGTAGGCTTGTACCGTCCAGTGACTGACCGGACTACAAACTTTGTCCGATTCCCTCGCGGTCTGGCAGGTGCCTAGGGGGTCACTGGTGGGCTGCCGGAAGATGTGTCACAGATCCATTACCGACGAGGGCGTGGACCACCGGTCGCCGCAAGAAAATAACTCTGAGTTATTTTCTTCCGATGTGTCCACCGGGGTCTTCCCGATGTCAAAAACATGGCCAATCCTCACAGATGATCATTCGGCGCCCCGTCGGGTATCTCTCAATTTTGCCGATTTTCAGCCTTTTCGGGCATCGGTTTATATGTGACTCAGGCATTACACACAGCAGTCGTTTGTGAGGGACGGCCTTGACCGACGCCACGACAAGCTGTACAATCCGTCCGCTTCTGTCGATGACCTGAGCCCGTCTCCCCGACTGACATGGTCAGTCAGGTTTTGTTGTTGGAGGTATTATATAACGTGATGCAAGATAAATGCACGTACATACGCAAATTCCAGCGACGTGAGAAGGTGTTAATTGACGTTTATAGATAGTGCTGGGGATTAAGGGGCGTGCCCTGAGAGAGGGGATACTCCGAATGTTTGCTGAATATAATAAACAGTCAAAGAAGATAGAATTTAGGCTCACTTTTGAAACATATTGAAACAATTAGGTATTTTAGATAAATGAAGTTTCAAATAAAAGTATTGAAATGGTTTGCACAATGGCAATACACTGAACATCGTGGAGCTTTTGTCCTCAAAAGTGTTTTAAAAATAGTGACAATATTGAAAGTACAAGTATACAGTTACATGCATGTGACTTGGACAGGCTGACAAGTTGTTGCTACATGCACTGATTGTGACTCACATGGCTGGAATGACATGAGACAAGATATACAGACGCGTACAAGTAAATAGAAGAATAACAGAACTGTCAACACCAGTCAAACAGTTATATATAAAATTAACAAGTTGAGCGGAGATCCCGGCTCACACACAAAAACATTGGACGTTTCCACCCAGTGGCACCTCCTGCTCGCGGTCGCCCTTGCAGTCGGGATGCCAGACTGCTAGATACATTTAGTATCACCGGTATTATATTGGTTAAGGCAATAAACAGTGTAAAGTACACTGATGACGTAGGGACGAACACATAATGTGCGTAATGCGTTGTCGTTTGCATATGAATGTAATATTTTCATGATAAGAGTGAGATCCTT